TCCACATAAAATAGTGTTATACATATATATTTACACATAAGTTAAAATATAATAAATTTTTACGTAAAATGCAGTAAAATTTTAATAAATGTTTCGTTTTAAAGTACATTAATTCAAAAGGGAATTAACATACGTGACGCAAGAAACAAAACAAACTTGGCAATACTCGAAACAGCATTGTATGGTCAGACAAATTTCAATAAAATAACTAAAATTTTTGTTGTATCTTTTTATTTCTACTCGAACCCTTTTAACTTTTAAATAGTTTATTTTCATCAGAAAACGCGTCACTTTTGGCAAAAAAATTTTACATTAAAAAAAATTATATTTGATTGGGGAGTCAATTACCAATTATATTACTAACAATTACCAATATTAACTAAAATATAGGGTGTCATAAAAGTCTACCTATCTTAACTTCAATATAAAAACACTTGATAACTTAATAACAGCTGAGGTCATATATGTTACCAATATTTGGTCCAATATACTTTTTCTAATTTAACGCTTAACAAATATTTGTCTTAAATGGGTTCGGAGATTATTGTGAATCAAAATTAATTTGTTAGAAAAATTTTCCGTCATCGAATTTTGTTCGTCTTTTAGTAAAAATTTTTCATACATTACTCGACGTTTTCCAATTCTGAAGTGAATTACTTAAACTTTTTCAACTTATTATTACCAAGGCGCTCTAAAACATTTGACTTAACAATCTTTGAAGACCCTAAATCTATTTATTATTTGATACATAACCTATTGTACCGATACGTCCCATCAACGCGTTATATTCTTTTCAGTTTCTGACACATTCTTTGCAAGTTATTATTCATTCTATGTATGTATTTTTTGCGTAATCATTCACTTATGCTAGTCTATGGTAAATAACTGGTAAAAGTTTTCTGTAGTTTATCATCCGGCATTAATATTAAATGTACACTTCATATTAATTTAGTCGTCTTCATTTGTCTTAATTAAGATTTTCCATTCTGAACAACTTTTTTTACTACGTTGTTTGTCTAGTTATTATTTGTGGCAAATATATTGCATATAGCATAGTAAAAAATTTTGCTCAGAATAGGTAACATTACAAAAATCAGATGTAATTCCGCCACATAGATCGTTACTTTTGAGGGATTTACAATGAGCAGCAGACCTTTCAAACTGGAATTATTGATAGTTGAGCACGTACACTCTCAACGTTACCTTATCTCAAATTTTTATTTCTGAATTTATAATATTAGATTATAATGGCCATCCTTAACATCTACTTAGGTCTATTAGCTCTTTATGTTGCCGCATGAAGTCAACAGATTTAATATCCCTAGAAACTTTAATAAAGCTTAAAATACTTTTTAAGAAGTAATTCTGCAGCTAAAATCCTTCAAAAAGTAAACCCTAGCAATTTTAATCTTTGCTATGCAAGCGTTGGTTAGTTACTAAGTGCAGATATGAAACAGTTCCTACTCATAGCTGCGACAGAATCATTTAAAGTAAGATTTAATCTTTTGTCATGGTAACTTAACCGATAGTGACATACCAGCAAATCCACTATAAGGACGGTACCTTTACGACGATTCACAATCAGATGACTTAAGTTTCTCTTAGTCATATTAAAGCCATATCTTTTTAAAGGGACAAATTTACGTCTAGATATCGTTAAATATTTTTTATATAGGAATGAAAATATACACAAGGACTTAAGAATTGAGAGTGTGTGAAAGTACATCAAAGACAGATCGCTGTCAAACAGAAATTGTTTGATTCCGTGAATGTTCACATTAATTCAGAACTGCACTCACTTAAATCAAATGCATTACATATGTATATTCCTACACGAAGATATGCTGGACTTCAAACTTTACTTCTTTCTAATCATCTAAATAATTCATTATTATATATTAATGGAACACTTATTACACTGCATCATCGAAGTGGTCACAGACGTTATTGAGTAAAAGTTATTTATATACTAACTTGCGTTTCCTCAAGTAAAGAAGAAGAATATGGGAAGTTTGCAACAAAGTTTTGGAAGATGCTAATGGTATGTAGGCCCAGAGTTTAAAATAACAAAAGCCAAGTAAAAACGTATTTCTTATAAAAGCTTAAATAATGATAAGCATTTTCCTGTTAGCACATCATAAAATTATTCCAACAATTCAAAATAAAGTTGCATTAAATTATAAAAACATATGTATATTTTATTATATTACAATAACAAAACTATAATTTTTTCTATGATATATAAATTAATTTGTTACGTGTATGTTAAATCTTATAATCAATTAACATGATTTGCTTTTTTTTTGATATAAATAAATTTTGTTATTGATAACACGCATACACATATGTACATATGTATGTGTGTAGATAATTTCACTGCATTTCGTCATACATCATTTTATTACGAAAAGTTATACTACATATATTTGCGAAATAACAACCCTGTTGGTGGTGATTCTTGAAACAGCTGTTTAGCAATTGAAAACAATAAATTGAAAGGGTAATATTTATGATTGTAACAACAATGTATTAGGACAAACACTCTTGGTATATACATAGCTGTTAAAACAAACTTACCTTATATGCGGGGGCGAAAAGAAATTCTTCTCCTTTAATATATTATATCATTTAGAACATTTTAAGGCAAATTATTTTAATACACTGAGAAATTATTAAAGTTAAAAACAATTTATGTAATTGAATAACATAAATAAAAATAATTAACAATTATATTTAGATATTGTATTCTAAATAATAATAAAATTTCTTAATTTTTTATTGGTATGAATTCCAAAGAAAAAGAAAAACAATTTAAATTATCAACAGCAAAAATGCAATGAGAAAAGTGTAAACAGAAGAGGACAACGAAAATGAAAATTCAGCTGTTGAAATTACTATGCACATCGATTTTTCTCACAATAATTTTTTAGCACATATTAAAAATAGCTTAATTTATTTGCTTTTTGGTTTAGCTTATGTTATTTGTTTAAATAAATACGAAATTCTTTTTATTTTGATGTCATAAAAAAGAATCTCCAATTTTAGTTTTTGCTTCTACGTACATTGCACTTGTAAGCGAGAATTTTTATTTAAAAATTTTTATATCTTTTTATGCATTTGAAAGCGTCATGTTTTTGCACTTCTTCAAAAATGCTATAGTTTATTTAATATATTCACTAAAAAGAAGACATTTTTCGCACAATTTAATTAATACATGTTACCATATTACTCGACTCAAATGTATGCTTTAAGTGTATTTTGAACAGATGACATTTTGGTTGTATGGCATTGCATTCAATATTGAAACTGTTGAGCAATTGATCAGTGCTGCCAAGCCTGCGCTCCGCTTTCTTACGGTTAAGTCTTTGAATTCGATTTCAATGCATTAATGAATGTTTGCGATATATTGTTGTCATAATAAAAATTTTATTAATTATATTTTACTAAATAAATATTATTAATTCAAAATATATCAAAAATTACTGCTTCCATTTTAAGACTGCCATCGCCTTTCACTTTTTGAAAAAATTGCTTCAAAAATCATGAATTCCTGAAGCTTGTTGATGTTACGTTTAGAATACGCCACAACTTGGAACTGGAGTAGCTGAGCAACAACGAACTAACTTTTTTGTTCTTTTAAAGTACATTGTATAATTTATATGGTTTACTACTTCCATGTATAGCATTTGCTGCAAAGATGTTCACTGCTTGACGTTTCGAAGGATAGTATTGCCTATATTTATTTCGTTTAAATACAAATTCTGTTTACTCATTCTATGTCTTCATAAATATTTACTACAGACTTTTTGGTTGCATTATCCCAAAGCCGGATGATAGCATATCCAAGGGATTCACTTTAACTGAAAAGTGAATGAATGAAAGCTAAAATGTATATTGTTGAGGTTTTCCGAATATCATAAGCCAGTTAGTCACAGAAAAGGTGATTATAGGTTTCATCTACTTGTAAACCAAGCCATTGTGTGTCGTTGAAGAAAATCTCCTTTCATGTTAAGACAATAACTCAAGCCATTAGTGAAATGTCTGTCAGCTTACATTCTTACGTTTGTACTACTAAATATAGGGACACCTTATCGTTATTGTAAGGATAACTTGCTGCTTAGCCTGGAGGTTACTTGAGGTATGAGATAATACTTAAAATAACGATTGTTTACAATTATATACTATATATCACTCTTCAGAAAACTTTATGTAGAAGGAAATCAGTATCAGATAACAACAGTACTATTTTTTAAAGTTCATAAATATTGAAATATTTATTGAAAGAATAACAGAACTTACTATTTGATATTTTATTACAATTATAAAATATTGAATAATATATATATCATATATTATAGCTGTATTTAACATTATTATTTTGGATTTGTAAGCAATAGATAAACAATTCTTATAGATTTATTACAGATGACACTTTAGAAAGGATATATCGTATATATGTGAAGAATCCAAATATTTTTTTCATTAATGATTAGTGATAAGTTTGAAAAAACTCCAATTGATTTTAAATTATATAAACACCTATACATTTTAATAATTTTTGAACAGAATGCATTTTAATTTCTTTCTAATATTAACAATAAATTTTTAATAAAATTTAATTTATATTTAAAAAGGGGAGGATTCTCAAAAAATATGCAATAAATTCTCATATCTATGGTATCTAGGAGTACAAGAGAAAACGAAATTCACTACTTAAGTTATATTATATTTAATATATTTCACATATATTTAATGATATAAGATTCTCGATAATAATCTTAATATATATTTTTATTTTTTTTTTTTGGTATATATGAGATACAATAATTATCTTTAACAAGTTTTTGGAAATTCAATATTCTGCAATATACATTTATATAGAATTTAACAAATAAAATATTTAGTAACTCTAAATTATCTTATATTAATTAAAAACTTTTAAAAAATCAAATAGAATTGTTTAGTAAATAAAGTATTTATACAAAATAACAATTGCTGATATAAATTAATTTTTATTCGTTTTTGGTTCTAAATTTGTGAAATTACAGTTAAGGATGTGAATTACACGTCAAAATTAAAGGTTTCGGTTTAAGTTCGGACGGCACAGAACTTATTCACAGAGCTATCGCTCTATCGTATAAAGTAATATATATCTAATATAAAACTGTGTAATAATACTTATAAGCTTTTTAAAGTTTGTATTTTTGTTGTATAAGACGGTGTTTGAATTCCACTAATTCTTCGGAAAGCATCTGGAAACGAACTATTAAATATATTTCTTACAAATTTTAATCTTATAAATCTTATCCTTAATTTTATAAAATACAAATTTTATTATTATATATAATAATTTAGTAGTATTTACTGTACTTATAAAGTAAGTAATTATATACCAGTTAAAATTATGATGAATCCAAGATTGGTAGTTTTTAAAACATTTAGATGTCAGCACAAGTCCTTATGAAGTTTTTTAAAGAGTGGTGTAGACTAAGCAGTTTCCATATTAAAAGAAGTTGGTTAGTATAGTTTGATGACAAATTCTAAGATGACTGGGAGTTTAACCTGAAAATATATAAAACATTATAAAGTTGATCAATTTTAAATAGAAATGCTTTACCTTGTCATGTATGATACCTTTCCAATATACGTTTCCTTGAAATTGTTTTAATAAAGTTTTTAAAATGAAATTAATAGAAATATAATGATTGAATGAACAGCAAAATCAGTCATTTGAACCATTTTCAAAATTTGTTTATATTGGAACTAATTTTTTTTTTTTTTTTTTTTATAGGGTGGAAAGCATCGAAAGCCACCGTGTGAGACTTGAACCCACTAAAACCACCTTTAAGGGAATAACAAGCTTCGGCAGTATTATCAATCATAGATAAAGAAATTAAACATTTTCTAATAAAAACATTTATTTTATGTCAAAAATAGTTTATTGGAAATTACATAGAATAGGAGTACCCAATCCATCTTACTCTATATGCTGTAATTTGAAGAAGATTTTAAATATGAATTTATTCCCAATAATCTTACTTTTTTAGAGTTTAACTGAAATATTTTTAAAACCAATTTGCAGAAAAATGATATCATTAATATTTAGATAAAATATTTTCTTTATTACAAGCAAAAGAGGACGAATGAACAATTTACAATTTTATGCATACAACTGAAGTGAAGACAGTAAAACAGTACTGGAAGGGGATAGTTAAATACTTGTATGCTCACTCAGAACATATTTAATTTTATTTGCAACTAGCATATCAGTGCTTTATTAGAGCACATCTCTGATTTATTAGAGCAACAGGTTGTCTTTGACAACCCATTGTAGACGAAAATACATAAAACGTATATTAAGACAGCACCCAACTTCAATTAAATTTGAATTTCAAAAATAAATTCATTTCCTCAATCAAAATTTGAATCCATCGTAGAGAACATCTGAGTAAACAAACACTTTAATAGCTTTATACGATTGTACGGTGATTATTAACAATTATCAATATTAAAACACAATTCCTTTAAAGAAATTTGCAGACTGATTTCAACAAACATCAACCAGGAAACCTAAAGCACAAACCAAACCAAACAAAACGAAGATATTTTCTTTCTTAGATTGAAAAACTGTTGTCAACGATTTAAATGCCACAAATATAAGATGATCCAAACAAAAAATGTAAAATAAAAGTTTTCCAAACATAATAAATCACCTAGATATAAATATAATAAAATTATTTTATAACATTTTTTTATTTATTATTGTTTACCTCTGGCACGATTTTGAGAGTCGTAATTTATGCGTGACAGTTAAAATTACCAACCAATAGATGATAACAACTCCTTTAACCATATTTGATATATTATCAAATACTTATACCAAATAACTTCTGATTCCGGAAAGTTTTTTTAAACTTTACACCAGTATACTTAAGCGATAAATGAATTTTTATATTCACGCCGATTGAAATACATTTGACTATTGATTTTTGAAAAATAGTGTGAATAACCAAAATTCAAATCGCTTAATTTCTAACATTATTAACATGTTTATTTATTTAGTTTAAATGTTTATAAACAAACCATATGGTAACAAAAACCACTCAAAGAATTCAAACTAAGCGACAAAATAAAATAGATTGACGTTTATGAGTACGTCTGACGTTCTCAGCTGACAAAAAATGCTTTTTATAGTTATTCACAATAGTGGATTTGTTTGAAAAACAGAGTTGCCTTAATTTTAAATTGTGCATTTGAAGATATAACATAGTCCATTCGAGATGTAAGCTAATTTTTTATAATTAATAAATATAATAAAATGTTTCAAAACAGGCTTTCAATGTATTTAATTGCATTTTATTAATTTCAATAAATGAAGTATAAAATTTTGTTTTTGTTTTTATCATATATTCATTTCAAGTAATAACTATAAATAGTTTTTTATAAATTTAACAGAAACCAATTAGAATTATTTACAAAACTTTCAAAAAAAAAATTAAATAAAAAAAATAAGAAGTTTTCTATATGTTGCCAACTAAAATACATTTAGCATATTAACAATTTTTTATATATTAACCAAAAACCAATTAGAATTTTTGTATCAAATTTCAGCACATATTATTTTTTTAATAATTGTATAATAATTTTTTAGACAAAAAATGTAGGGATCTAGCATATCTGCATATTTGCAAAAAATACAATATGGTGTGTATTGCCAATAAGAATGAATTTAGATTTTTTGTAGACCAAAACATAATTAAGCATTTGCATGAATAAATCTAATAAACCAATAATAAACCAGACGTAACATCATTTAAAGTGATTGAATAATTAGTTTATTTTTTAAATATAATAACAAATTTTAAACTTGGTACTCACAAATAATTATATATATCTACAATCAGTAGTTTGTATAAAATTATGTGTTAACACTTACAGGAAACAGTTCTTTTACTTTTAAACTTTCTTTTACTTTTTGATTAATTGCGTGAACTTGCTTACTTCCTTATATAGCCATAACAGCCCGTATCTGTGTTTCGGCCTAATGTGACATTTTCTTCCGGTGCTCCTGCTGCATGCGCGTCTTCTCCAGTGTCGTACATCAAGTCCGATTAGTGCTGCCTCGACTTGATCACTTCACAAAAAACACGGTTTACTTCTACGCCTTCTTTCACCAACTACCACTTGAAGCACTTTTTTCAATGAAGCGCCTTCATCCATTCTTACGACATGACCAAACCACCGAAGCTGCTGGATGTTAATTTGTTTAATTATATTCATATCGTGATAAAGATCGTACAGCTCGTAGTTTATTCGGATCCGGTAGTCGTTGCCAACTCGTAGAGGACCAAAGAACGTACGAAAAACTTTTCTCTCGAAAATTCTCAGTGCTACTGTATCATTCTGTAATAACGTTCATGCTTCTGTGCTATACAGAAGCTCAGGTAGGATGCGTGACTTATAGGGTGTAAGTGGATATATTAGCATGCTCATACAAAAATAATTATCTTCTAAAAATATTCACTCAAAAAACGTACGTAAAATATTAGTAAAGGTAGAAAACTGACAATTGTGATATGATTCTCTACATAACACGTCTTTCCATAACTATTTATCATATAGCTGTTTACATAACGTGTATATATAGCTATTATCCAAACATTAAGCTGAGATGAAAGAACAGCATACAACAATTTAACTTTGTTTATTCATTTAACATATAACAAACTATTTAAAATATCAAAATTTACTCTTAAGTATTTCTTAAAAGTTCAATAGTAGGCATTAAATGTTACTTAAAGTTTGAACAAAAGTCCCTTTTCTATTAAATCAATAATTGAGGTGTGCATTGTGAAATTAATTCTAGAACTTGCAGTTTAGTGACGCTTAAATCAATTCATTACTTTCCATATAATAAAAAAAAATGTATTTAAAAATGCAACCATGTGATAGCGGCAAGTATTCCAATATGGCGTATTAGAATTCGCCGAGTATTTGCTAAACTTGCCGCATTAGTTTTTTTCCTTGCATTTCGTTAAAGTCGCCCGAAGAAAGTAGTCGAAAAGTTGATATTATTCTCGATGTTGTTTATTATAAGTGAATTGAGATGATGAAAAACGAAAATTGATGTGGCTAAACAAGTGCTAGTGTCTTTTTTAATATTCTATAATTCAAGTGATACTAACGTGTCAAGCAAAAAAAATATATAAAGAATTTAATTGGTCAATTAAGAAAGTTGAGAAAGGGGAGTGTGAGGTGGAAAAATTTACATTAGTAAAGAGAAAAAGTCAATTCTATTTTATTATAAGTGTTTATTTTAAACTTTTATGAGTTTATATTAAATTAATGCAAAATATTAAAGTAAATAGAGTGAAATAAAATGGGCACAAAAGAGCAATTTTCGGTAAATGAGTGCGACGCCTCGGCCGCCCACAAAAACGCCAACTACGTCACCTCAGCTAATAGTACTACGAATACGGCTGAAACTACAACAACAGCAACAACAACCACAAATACAACTACAACAGCAATAACGACGTCAAATTCAGTCATGCAACGAACACATCATCAACTTCCAAAAGCATCACCACCTCCACAAATAATTATTGTACCCGCTACTCAAGCTTCAACATTGGCTACAAATGCCGCCAAGAAAATACGACGTGCATTTTCCATGCCAAGAAATCCTTTTCGCTGGTCGCGTAAATTCAAAACAGCTGGAGGAAGTGGAGGCAGTGAAAGTAGCGCTGCTGGTAGTAATTCCGCCTTAACGTCTTGTGTTGGAGGTGGTCGTGGACGAGCCGGAAGTATTGTTTCTCTAAACAGCTATGAAGCCACCGTTTGCAAGGATGCTAATGGCACTCTCACAACTGAGCAAAATAACAAAAATATATCAACATCGGCACCAACAACAACTACAACTACAACAACAACTTCGACAAGTGATGCTAATCTAAACAACAACAACAACCAAACCAATCGGAATAAACACGCTGGAAAGCATACAACCGGAAACGGTACTGGATCCAACAGAGTTCTGAGACGCTCTTCATTTCGAAAATTTCTCAATCGCATAGCACAGCACGTCAGCACATCAGTGAATGTTGGGGTAAGTGAAAATGTAAAATAAAAATTAAAAAATTAAAATATAAAAATGAAAAAAATGCAAATTCGACATAAAAGCGATTTCGATCAGGTTTTATGCAAAGTGAAATTGATTGGGGAAAACTTTTTTTGTGTAGAATTTCTAATTGAAAGCTTCAATATGTAAATAGAAAGGTAGTGATATTTACATTTGTCAATTATTCAATAAAAAATTTTTATTGAATTGACATTGAAACTAACTAAAGCAAACAACGTGTCCAGTGTTTCTTTTAAAAAATCAATGAATTCGCCACAATAAATTCAAATAGGAGGCGTGCTTATAGGTGTATAAGAAGAAGAAAAATAGGGAGATACGGTCAAGGAATTTAATGTAGCAAATAAATTGTACCTTGACTACTTAAAATGCAATATTGCAGAATATTAATTTAAAATGTGAAAATGTGTTTTCTTGATTCGCTAGAGTTTGATTCTAATAGCCTCTACAGACTGTAGAAGTTATTTAAAAATTTTGAAACCATTGTGTGTAAAACATAATTGGCACAGGGAAAAGTGTATAAGGGATATTATATAGTGTTTAATATAAATAAAATGGTACTGTTGTTGTTGTAACTTGCAGGGATACGCTTATGTTCTCTCTTTTGAAAGTGTTAAAAGGTTTTAGGTGGTTCCGGGCCTTAGATCCTGCTTGTTCGTAGAACCATATGGTACTGTTGTTGTAGTCCACAAGGATCTGCAAAGCAGATAAAATGAATGGTGTTTATATAGATTGATGTACTATATAGATACCGATTCATATTGCTAGAAGTAGAGTATTTTCTGATTGGATTTCAAAAAAATATTTTTTTTTTCGTATAAAATGAATTCATCCCATAAGGTTTCTTATATAAGGTGCCTAATTTATAATACATTTATTAATTTGAATAATATAGAAACATTATGGACTTCTTGTCATTTTAAAACTTTATAGAGAATGCAACTTAATCTTACATTTAGAACAAAAGTCGTGTCTTCAGTTCTATAATAAATAGTTGGGCTTTACTACTGTAAAAGTTTCCGGTATATTCATTAAGTGAATGCGAACATTGCAAGTTTAGAGCAATAAAGACGCATTATAAAGAGATTATGTAGATTAATATATTACATAACTCTTTAAAGAGGTTGCTATATAATTCCCAAATCAAATTTTGAGTCATTTTTCTTATTAGAATAACGAAGATTTATAAAAGTACTTATTTCGATATTCAATATATTTCAATTTTATATACAAAATTGTTATGAGATATTATTTGAGAAATACTACATGAGTGTTCAGTCCCCGAATTGTTCTTACATAGTTGAATTCGTTGAATTTTATTCGAACACTTTTTTAAAAATGTTCCAACTACTCGAAGATGTTCGAACTAGTTGTATATCTGATTTGCTCTATGTTGGACTTGATATTCGTTATGTTTCATACGAATACATAAAACAGTAAACATTCCACCATCATATGGTGTTCAAACATTTTCGAGTAGATCACTGTGTTCCTGCCAAATGCTCTAGTGCAAATAAACAGAAAAATAAAAATATTCGAAGCCTTGAAAAGCTCAAAAAACGTTTGAAGTTCTAATGTATGACTTCAACTAGTCTTCTAGTATGCTTAAAGCGGTTATGCGAGTATATTACTATTTATATTTTTATAAATTCAAATAATATAAATATGTTAAAAACTTTTCTCATAAAAAGTTTGAAAGGACCAAAGTTGTAAGATATGCGATATAATTTTTTTTTGTGAATCATTTTCCGCACTATTTACTTAAACAGCAAGTATCTATTATATACAAAAATACATATATATATATATGTATATGTAATATTTGGCTAAATATTTTTAAATAATAGTAATTTTCTAACGAAAAACTGTCTTTAGCATAATATCCCGTTTAAATATTATCAATGCTGTAATTTTCTTTTCAATGCACGGCTTGCCTTGACGCCGTGCAGTCTTCACAAGATTTCCGTATTCATAATGTTTAACAGTTTTTTATTTGCATATATTTGAAAATATATTTACTAAAATTTAGTTATACTTATATATATATTTAGGGTTCCGTAGCCTGAATGTATGTAAACAAGAAAAATAGAGTGCTGATAGCTTATCAGTTTCATGTTTTCTTGGCGTGCTTATTTATTTTGAATCACTTTTTTTTAAATATTATTAAACTATAAAAATTTAGTAATTTATTTATTGTATACATATTATTTGATGGTTTCTAATTAAAAAAACTTTCTTTTGTACTAAACTTTATTCGCTGTCGTATGTATCAGTTTTCTGATAATCTTTTGGCCTCATTTGACTGTTCATAGTTCAATCATTGCATAGAAACTCACTCAGTACAGACGTTTTGTAGTCGCTGTTGTATATCTCTTAAGTCGAGTTGATTCTCTTCTATACATTAGAAAGTAACTGATGCCACCAATGTTTTCAATATTATTATTCTTTTAACTATTTATGCTTCTGTGATAGATGTAAACTGTATTGTATCATCGTCCCTGTAAAAGGTACACTTTTAAGAGATGTTGTAGTATATTTTGTTTTTGTTTATTACTTAAACCAAGTTCATAATTACACCATGTTTTTCTTGCAACAAACAATTGGCTATATAGATGTATGTTCTTTGTCATTTATCTAGGAGTCAGAAATTTCCACTATTATATGATATCTAAAAATTGCACTGATCAATTGCCTGAATACCAATTGATCAGAGCATTGTTGACTGTAAATGTCATTTCAAAGTTTCTTATAGAACACAAACCGAAGAGGATTTTATTCAGATGAAGAATTATATTTATAACATAGTATTTACTGTTTTAGCAGTAAAAGGTAATTTTCCTTTTATCAAAATAAAGATGATTAATCTCCTTTCTTTTCTCCCATTTATCTATTGTATCTATTGTATTGTAAGTTATAAGATAATCCTTCTTCTCCTTTTAAAATTCATAACAATGTAGACGCATATATAGATCCCTAGATTTATATAAAATATTTACCTGTAACCCTTTTTTTCGAGTTGGGGCTGTGGTTATTGTATGCTTCTTCTTACAATTTCTATGTCTTGTAATTTTAGTATTGCCTTTTTATTTTTTGTTATTTTCATTTCATTCGTGAAGTGTTTGTGTTTTGCCAATTTTTGTTTTGCTACGAACGGGAAAGTATGTCAAGTTTTGTGGTTTAACGCTTAATATCCGCTGTGTAGGCTCGTAATCCTCCTGTACATTGTGCTTGCTTAGAAAACTGTGGCTAATGAAGGAAACTACTATTTCTCATTATTATTTGTGATATTACTTTTAGCTTTTTTTTTGTTTTATTAATTTAAAAATGCCAAAAAAAACTAAAACTTTTTAGTGTTACTTTTTACTAATCTTCTTTAGACTTGTCTTCCTACAACATTAACTTTGCATTAAAAATAAAGTTAAGTCTGATAAAAGGATTATGTGTTCAAAGCGAATATTTAGAATTATACCATAATCCGATTATATGGTATAATGTAAATAGTCATTATGTTGATAAACTTTTTTAAAAATTGTTAGTTAATTGTTAACAATGATTTTTAATATAAACAATTAAACGTCAAATAATAAAATTTTTGATCTAACATTTCTTTAATTTTTATAAATCCACTAAATGTATAAAATCACAATATTTAGTTTTTGATATTATAGTACTCTTTACTATACCGATTCATTGAGTGTGCACAACATATATCCCACAAGATATTATTATCTATTTGAATAAAAAAAAATCAATTAAAGTCTTTTCTAACAATTGGTATTTCAAGTAATATCCTCTTTAGTAATACTGTTTATGAAATCTCAGAATAGTTACAGGGTCCTAGGGGAGGTATGCAGATCTGAGGTCAGTTATTGTTTAGTCTGATGAAGTGTTAAACACTGCGTAGGGTCAAGGCGCAGAGAGGGGTTATGAAGAAACCACGCAGTTAATAGAGAGTAAAAGTGCTCAAGTACATTGGCTCATCTAGCCTCAACATAATATCTGATTTTTGGACATAAATAGATTTTTTTTATAAATATTGAATAGTCGCACTTCTTGATCATTTTCTCTCTGATCAGTCTTGTATTTTGATATCATAATTTTAAAAACTGGAATTATGAAGTTTTTTGTAATCTATAATCTTCTCTATATAATTATTTCTCGAAATAACTTAATAACTCCTGCCTATTTTGCTGAGATAAACAATTTTTAAGGATCAAATATATGAAACCCCTTAAATAGTTTCTTTAAATAAAACCATTTCTTCCGACCCAACTGCGCAAATAAAATAACAAATAGAGTAACTGTAGCTTAAAGTAAACAAAAGCCATTTTTCAAATAAAAAAAAATAATAATAAAATAAGTGCAACACTAAAAGAAAACTTAAACCGAGTGTAAAAATAAAGACAAAAATAATAAATAATAAAATACAAAGAAGTTCAAAAATATTTGTCTGATTGAACAAAAAGTCAAAGCCGAGAGCAATGAATGACACAGATCACGCAACATATGTGTATGTGTGCGTGTGTGTGTTTTAGCTTGGTAAGCAAAAACAACAAACAATGTAAACAAATAAATGAAAACAAGCAAGAAAAAAAGAAAAACGAATTCACTTTTGCCGCCCAAACTTTTATGCATAAAATGAATGCTAGGCATCATTTCAGACACAAAGCACAACAACAAAAAATATATGCAATCATCACTTTTTTATGTTCCACATTCTGTTGTTCCCCGTTCGTTCATTGATTTTGTTCCAGTGTCTAAGCAAAGCACAACACACTTTCAACACTTTCAACACTTTCAACGCTGAATATGCCGATACAACAAATACAGTTTCAAAAATGCAACAGCAACAACAATCGCAACAGCAATAAAAGCAGCATAATTTTGTTGTTGCAATGATTATGTTAAAAATTATGTATGAGAAATGAGTATTTGTGTAAAAACAAATAAGAAAAAAAAATAATGATGTC